CTTGATTTTTTGTAATTGTAATGATGATGGGGAGTAAACTATAAGGAGGAACATGCTCATGATACACCACTTTAATTACATGCTCATTAGGGGTGGGCAACGGAAAACGGGTATTTGGGTATATCAGTACCCGTCCCGTTTTTTAAGGGTTACGGGTACCCATATTACCCGTAATATTATAAACGGATGGGACTTGGGATTGTACATTCCTAATATGGGTACCCGCGGGTTACCCGCGAATACCCGTTTGGGTAATATGGGTACCCATTATACCCATTCAATACAAATGTAGAAATTTAATTCAACCCAGCCCAATTTAAAACCCATTGGCCATTTCGACCCTTACCCTTACCATTTCAATTTCAATTCCATTTGGGCCCTTACCCTTTCACTCTTTCACTGACATGTTTGGTGAATTAGTAGAGAGTTGGGATGTGTTTGAAATGAGGCAACGAGTGTCCATTTACAGTCTGGGGTCATTGTGTACTTAATTAAGGAACTTGGATCATCCCAAATTGCTCCTAATTATTCTTCTTTGCAGGACAGCAGCAAGTGAAGGACAGTTGCAGCTGCAGAAGGGAGAATGGCAGCAGCAGCCCGCAGAAGGGAGAATGGCATCAGCAGCAGCTTGGAGAAGGCAGAACTGCAGCAGCAGCTTGCAGAAAGTAGCAGCATGCCTCCCAATTGGTTGTGTTGAATGAAACTTCTTTTTTGATAATTTGGTGCTTGGAATGATTTATTTCTATGTGTTGTGATTGTTTATGAATGTGTAATTTGCAAACCAAGTATTTGTGATTGGGATGTATTTTGTGTCTTGTGATTGTTAAGCAAATACAAGTTAAGTTTAAACTTTTGTTAAAATTTTAATGGTTTAAACTTTGGGTATTTATGGGTAGTATGGGTACCCGTTATCTGTCCCGTACGGGTAATGGGTACCCGTTTCCCATATGGGTTTGGGATATGAGATGGACTTTGGTCTCCAAATGGGACTAGGTACCCGTTTAAAACGGGGCGGGTATCCCGTCCCGTCCCGTTGCCCACCCCTAATGCTCATGATATGCAGTAGTCTCTCCCTTTCATTGATCTAAACCACGTTTATTTCCTATGTGCTTATTTACCATAGATGTGAATTTTTTACTCTTAGACCCCACTCAAATACATGTTAGTGTCATGCTGATTTTATTTCAAAATACAAAGTACATCATGAAAAAAAGAACTACGCACAACAATTGTATCTTTTGACATTAGTTATATGAGCGGCAAAATAGATCATTATTTGAATGATGGACATGAATTATACCTATCAATCATGGACCAATTTACCATCGATTGAGCAGTATACTACCACCAAAATGTTCAACTACTAAGTTTGTTCAGCTATACATTTATTAATTGGAGAAATATACTGAAATAGCCCCCATTCGATCATTACATATGATGATTTGAATTATTTGCGTGAATTCGTATCACGAGACTGAAAGATATGTTAGACGCTAACAGTATTTACCCCAAACATATGGATGCACGAAAGGCAAAATCAATGAAAAATTATGTACAACATATGAAGTTGAAAACTGTTGTCAATCAAAGAGCAGATGATCGTGAATGTGGACTTCAAAATGGTGATAAAGTAGTGACTCTTATTGTTTACACGATAATTGCTCCTATTCACACTCAAAATAAATATAGCGACCCTCCTATTAGATAATGTTTGAACAATAAATAATCTTAATAAGCATATATAAAGAAAAATAGTATCCTACTATTGAGAAAATGAAAACAAAAAAAACATCCCGCCAAAAAAACTAGTAAAATATTTATGGTTGTGTTCTCTATAACTATAATGCACTTGTAACTGGAATAATATAATAACTAATTTTTTACCCGGCCGGTTGGCCTGAAAATTTCATTTTATCATTTATATAAATTAATTTATCTACATGTATAAAATTTTTTTAATCTTCTAACTTTTTTATGCTCATGCTTCATAAGTGAGTATGCTATATGTTCATATTAAAAATTCTCAATATTTAGCACACTCACCTATGATCTTCATAGGTTTCGATTCTCTAATAATAAATCATATTTTAAAGGTTTATCCCGTCACATTTACAATAGTATACAAAATTTTGTCAACCAAGCCATTCAAATTTATAATCTTATAAAACATCTAAAATTTCGTGATTCTCGAGTAAGGACAAACTCTCAAACAATTATTAAGAGTCCATATTATTGGATAAAGATACTTGATTACTCGATAAATTGTGTTTATCCAAGTGAAACTTGACACATACCGTACCCCTTATTATAATCAACTTATCTAATGTTGACACATGTTTATGTGAATGTTCATTAAGTCTCTGCAGAGGATCTTATGTCAAAATTTGTCTATCAAGACACTCAAATTTAGTATCTTATACAATATATTAATCAAATCTTTCAAACTTTTAAAATTATCAACCATACCTTTCAAAATACAAAGTATTAGCCAAACGTTAACTCCCCATTAGCATTTTTGTTAGTAATATTGACTCAACAACATGATGATGAGTTGGAGGAGACACGTGACAATCAATATTCAAAATTTTAGTATTTTAATTAAGAGAAGATTTACAAAATTATTAAAAATAAAAGAGAAATGATTAATATTTTGACACGATACAAAATATTTGGTTAAAATTTTGAAAATTCTGAAAGGTATAGCTTTTAAATTTTATTTACTCAATATGTACCAATTGCTAATTCTTGAAATTTGTACTAACCCTCAGCACATGGAGTCACATACTCAAAACCATGCAACCAAATGACTTATTAGAATTGCATTGATCTCATGCTTATAAAGATTCTTCATTTTTAACATAATAGCTCGATTTAGAGTCTTCTAACTATAAAGGCTTGTAATGTAGAAGACATTCAACTATCAAATGAAAATTGTCAACCCATGTTTGATTAGTGGTTGATGAAACATAATGTTTATCGTACATCGTCAACAAAGATTTCTCTAACATTCACACGTGCCATATAATACTTGTACATCATTAAGTTTCTATCCAAAACTTTTACTATATAATACTTGTTTTATTTTATAGATATATTAATTAGAAATAAGAGTAAGGATGGCAATGGGTCGGGTTTGCCTAAACCATCCTCATTCTCATTCCCATTTTCAAATACCTAAACTCTTACCTACCGCATACCCATACGGTGGAAGGTTTTACAAACTCATCTCCATACCCGCGGTTTTCGGATACCCATGGGTAATACCCGCCCCATAAGCTACTCACCATATAAAAAATATGTACAAAATTTTGGTACTACCTGCCGAAAAGTATGGAACTTATACATAAGTGGATGAAATTATGATTTGGTTGCCATCAATTATATTTGTTTCTATCCTCGGCGGGGCGGGTTTGGGTATGGGTATGGTGCGGGGGATTTCAAAACCATATCTGCCCATCTCCATCAAAAAATTTGCGTGTTTTACCCATACCCAATCAATGAGAAGATTCCCCGCATTGACTGGGTCGGAGACGGTTGTGCACTTGCGACCATGGATTTGGTTGTCATCTCTAAATAAGAGAGTGTTTAATAGCCAAAAATATAAAATAACATAGTTCTTTAATGAAAGTTGATTGATTTTCTTACAATTATTTTCTTTATTTCCATCATTATATTTTGTTTAATCGATGAAAATATTATTGTTTACGTGTGTATTTGTTTAAAATTAGTAGAAATTTTGCTTATAAAATTTAATAAGATATTTTTTGTTTAAACAAATGTGATATATCACTCTACAAACATTAGCCTTTTTCTACAAACATAAATATAATACAAAAAAAAGAATTATTGAATAAAAGAAAACACCATTAAAAAAAGAGAGAGATAACTCCATAAATAACTCATTAACTAACTTTTTTGCTTGTAAAAAAACATTGTCCACCTTTACAACTTGTGAATTCTCTAAGTGTTTATGTGGTAAGAAGTTGTTTTTGAACAATTATAATATATAGGAAGATTTCTTTTTATGGGAAATAAAATATTTATTTTATTTTTTACGGTTGCGAATATATTTCCAGATATCCAGCAATAAATGCCTAGAAATAGCCCACCGTGATTTGGGCCAAAATTTAAAAAAACACGCACACAGCCTCGTAACAGAAAAAACCGCTCCTATTGTCCAAAAAACCTAAATCAATTGAAAAAACTAAAAACTAATCCAATCGCCGTGTGCGCATAATCGCGATTAACAACCATGATCTCCTTTGTTTAAAACCAAAATCAATAATTAAGATCGGAAGAAGAGAGCTTTTGCTGCAATCCCGCCGCCCGGGGTACCAGATGGGTTGCGGGAAATCGAAACACGCCGTCGCCACGGCCGGCGCTCCCACCGCCGTGGCCCGAAAGAAATCGTCCATCAAGAAGAGCAGCGGTGCAGGAGACAGCCGAGAAGAGGAAATGCCGCCGCCGCCGCCGAAAGAAAACTCATCAAACGATAGTAACGTCAATGCGGTGGCGAAGGAAGAAGCAGAGCCGGGGAAGTTGATATCTCGAGAATCACCCCAGTTCTTCTCGTCGCACAAGGACGTGGAGCGCATCGCCGCCATCGTTAGCGAATCGAAATCGGATGGCGGCGACTCGGAGTACGGATCACCGCGGACCGAGTCGGCCGGGACGGAGGATTCGATGAACAAATGCAGCGTTCGGGCTGAAGATGGGGGAGAGATAGCAGGGGAAGGTGCGTCCGCCGCCGTTGTCGTCGTTGAGTCTGAACCTCCGGACAAGAAGCAGCAGCTGCAGAATTGTGATGATCGGAAAGTGGGGTTGGAAAGTTCGTCGGCGGCGGAAGAAAGCATTGGCAAGGCAATGTGAAAAGGAATTCGTCAATTTTGATTGTTTAAGTTGAATTGATTGATAAATTCAATTTCCAATGACGATCATATCATTTTTTTTCAGTGCCAATGTGCTTGATTGATCTTTGTTTCGATAAGCACGAAATATCTCGTTGCGCTTCTTAAGATCTACAGTTAGCACGGTTCATTCTTGAATATTTCGAATGAAGGAATGGATTAGAGGTTTGAACAGTAAGTGATTACAGGTTATGCAAATTCACATCGAATAGACCAAGAGAATAGGGTTTAATAACGTCAGATTACAAACTGTACACATATATGTAATTACTAATTACAAAGGCTATTTCCCAAGTTTTGGCTAGGGAGAGTGGGACTGGGACATATATTTTCCTACTATAAGCATCATCTATGTACAAGATTACAAATTCCTTCTTCACCAAGTAACAAGCGACTAAACACTACACTTACCTCAGGAGAGAAACCACAATCGGCCATTGTCGAAAGCTACAAGGAATGATTGTGTGTCACGGTTTCTTCGGTTTTCATCTTCAGTATAGAGGAGGCAGGAACTCTTGAAAGTACGAAGTTGCCCTTCAGATCTGTGGTGCTAAACTCCTTCAGAGCAGGCGCCATCACAATTCCACAAGACAAGTCTACGTCTCCACATAAATCGACGCCATAGTAGGACAAATGGTCTGAAATACTAGTCCACAACACCGATCTGCAAATAAAACATGAGTGAAACAAGTCAGCAATTGCAAGGTGCAGCTGGTCGAGATCCGGATTGTAAGTAGGTTCACAGAAAAGTTATCTTCTGAGGCAGGGCTACCTGCTACAAGTAGGATCTTCACCGGAGTCGTCACAAACCTTCTCGACTGTATAAACAAGACTTCCCAATCCAAGGTTATAAAGCCACACCTGCACATGAAAGACATGGTGCTTACCCTTGCTGTCTCTACATGGAAAATAGAGAGTATAGCATTATTACATCAACTATGATTACCTCTCTGGAAAAGTGATGATATGTCTTCGTTGGGAATATAGAATAATATGGGGGCAAATGAGGTACAATATCACGTTCATTTACGACTCTGATTGCATTAGGCACAAGCTCCTTGTAGTAGGTTGCAAAAACTGCATTGCCTACACGGGGTTGTCCAAACGTCATCAACTGGACATTCTCGGCTTCACAGTTGACCTACAAATTTACAAGTTGTGTTCTTTAGGTGAGCCTTGGACATACCTAACCAACATCCCTACAGTAAAAAGGTGGGTAAATAACTACTTACTACTAGATCAAGTGCACAGAACGCAGCAATGGCTCCACCCATAGAATGCCCAGTCAACATGATGTCAAGCTTCCCATAATACTGCTTTGCTTTTTTAATGGCATTCAGAATTCCAGACCGTATAGTTGTATTGTGATATGCAGAATAGAATCCATGATGCACCTGGATTCCAATAAAGAATTTAAGAAACAGAAAATAGCAGCTACTGTCATAAAACTAATTCAAGAAAATTGATCAGTTTAGGCCACACACCATCGCATCAGGCATTCCAGGATAATCTAAATCAAGCTGTTTCCAGAAGAGGTCTGAAATCCAATTCTGTAAGCTGCAAGGATCCAGTTCGCCAACAAAATTAAACAACACGCATAATCGCTCATCGAGCAATTTACACAAAGAAACAAAAACAGATAACCAATCTGCACAAACAAGGCATCAGGCAGATCACAGGACATAAGCAACAGTAAGGTAGTTGCATACTAGGTAACGAGACATACTCATGATCTAGAGGGAGAAAAAGAGTGGCATTAATCCACATACAAGACCATAAATACAAACTCCCCTCTTAAGATAAATATACATCAAAATCAAATTCAATTATACTGCTCACTGCAATAACACTTTTCGTGCTGACATAAATGAGTCTTCTTCACTACATATTAGCTGAACGACAAGCTTTGAAGATGCGATTGCAGCAAGAAATAGACAAATACTATGAACCCTAGTATGAATAATAGCAAATAGAAGATACATGCCTGTGTTCCTGAGTTCCTCGGAAGGCAATAACTATAGCATTAAGATCCTGAGCAACTCCAACATATGCCTTGAAGAGAACAGCCACATAAAGAGTCAGCCATCACCATCAGGACAAATCAACACAATTGTTTGTGCTTCAAAAGAATTTCGTGAACAACAAAGGAACATGACTTGCACACCTCTAAGCAGTGTTGCACATCAAAGATCAGCTCCACAACCTGAAAGCCCTGGTTGGTTGCAATCAACAAGGTGTTAGCCAATACCATTGGCAAGAGAATCCAGATACATGAGAAATCAAACTTTACCTTTGTTAAGCCATTGCATCTTGAACATGTCCAAGTAAATAGCTCAGTCATGTCTGAGACATACACCTACATAAACGAACACCAGTCAATCTCCATACAACTTAGCATACTCTCAATAAAGAACAGGATAACATAATGAAGCCATCAAGGCTCTAGCAATTGCAGCGAAACCCAGAAACTCCAATCAATCGTTTCAACGTACTGCGGAGGCATACTCCACCAACGTCATGGCGAGGGTGTGATTGTAAACCAGAGACCGATCATCCCCCTCGTCACCGTATTCCCTTATCTTCAGCTCTGGCAAAACCCGAATAGCAAAAACAACAATCAGTCAAAATCATAGGAATCCTTGCCATAGGATATCAGAACTCTTCAACCCAACTACAACCCAAATTCAAATTCCAAGTCTCATTAATCCTCCCCAACTCCACGCCAACTTGAGAAACCCCCCAACAAGAGTTCTGGAAGCTCAAGAACTTGTGTTGGTTTGCTCACCACCTACCAGTAACAAGCTGGGAAAACAAAATTCTGTAACCTAAAAACCGTTCACCATCCACCATTACCTCTGCCACAAGACGTAGACGCAAGTAGAGCTATCAACATTCCCACCAAGAACCATCTCCTTCCCTCCATTCTCTTCCAGTCAACCCGAACGAGAAGCCGGGTCAATCTCTGACGATGAACCGCAGAGCAGTTCCTCGACCTGAGTTAGGGTTACCGTCCGCCGGCGAGGGATAGAAACTCCGATCGATGAAGCGGCGGAGAACTCGGATTGGTACTCTTTATATTACGGATGAAGCTAAGGAGAAGTTCCCATCGTAGTGATTGAGATTGGATTGGATGGGGCAAGCAAACCAGGAAGAATAAATTAGAATAAAACAAATAAATAATAATGAGTTTGGTTGATTCCCTATATTACCCCTTCTTCTGGGGATTTCCAACCGAATTCCAGTTTGCCGACCTGTCGGTATTTTGGAGATTGCCTGGTGGCAGTTTCGGTATTTCGTTGTTTGAGGTGGGACAGCAATCTCAATTGTGGTTTTTCATTTTTGCGGATAAACTGCGGCGTGTGATTCGGTGGCTTGTTTCTGCAAAATAGAGAGCCAAAAAACGTTTCAATTGAATTCTTCTATTGGTGGTAAATGTTTTCTTGTTATGTTCAATAAAATTAGGGGTGAGATTGGAATTTTGTTTTCTATAATTTGTTGTATATAATTTATATTTTACTTTCCTAACCTTATTGGGTTTAAATTATTAACTTGTAAGAATTTGTAAATATTTATAGTGAATGTGGGGTTGTGTATTATAATTAGAAAGAACGCAACATTACTACCAATTGAGTACAAGAATATTACTAGTCTAAACTAACTAAAAACAACAAAGTTGTATCATACTAGAAAATAAAAAAAAGTAGCAACTAACTCATTCATGACAACATTATCTCAATCTTTATGAGAGTAAAAAAAATTATCATAATCTCTACTTAGATTCTGCGTATATTTTTTACATCTTTCTTTCCACACTAAACTCACAATAAATTTCATAAAGGTCTTCCAACACAAGCATGAAATAGGGTGAAAAGTTTGTCATATCTCCAGAGTTTGGAAGTTTGAAATAAGGGCTAAAATTACATAATTTACCTCGCGTGATAAGGAAGTATCCTAGAAGCGATGCTCAATATCATATTGTAATCAATTCGGAACCAAAAAAAATTCCAAGTAGCTTGGAAAAAAAGTTGGGTAACCATTTTAGTCTAGACTCTGTTCACCCTGAAAGCAGAAGAACACTACCTTAATCTATCCCTCATATACAATCAATACATCGTGATTCACCTACCCAATAACTTCTTATAAAATGAGATAATTAGATCATACATTTTATTAACATTTGCAACTTTGTTGCCTCGATCATCAAATAGAAATACAATGGCGTTCCGTTTCGGCCTAAAGTCCACCTAACAATGAAAATAAGCAGTATCAGAATCCCCACTTCACTTAAATATCGTGAAATTTGTATGTTTTTTACAATTATTTTATAAGTCGGTAAACCCGTGTAGAAGAGGTTAATTGGGCTGGAGCTGGATTAAGTCAAATCCGATAGATAATCGGCCTATATAAATCATCCTTTTTGCAATAACTTTTTTTAAATCAAAATAATGGTATTTTCCATTGTGATGCATTGTCATTCGTCTATTCAACTCATTTAAAACCGACTCGAATCTCACGTAACTCATATAGCGTACTAACTCACAACGAATATCATCTACAACTATCTTAACATCACGTATTATCTTCATCGGATAACATGTTATTCGTTAGACAATTTATCTGTTGCTTCCAATACAGCAATCACGGGAGTTTGGTTCAGGCGATTACGTGGATTGAAGACATACTTCATAGAGAATTTTCTTGCTTGTTTACGTTCTCGATACTTTCCAGGCGACATCCCATGGAATGGAAGAAGGCAGTTGTTGATTTGTTTCCTTGAGGGAGTTGAAGTAGATATGTAAGCCAAAAAATGGCGTGTGGGAAATCAATATGCCATGAGAAAAAACCAAAAAATGCTCGTTTTTGTACATCATGTTTATAGATTGACGTCGTTGTTGGGTTTATCAGCGTTAACGTGTGGTAGACTGAGACTCTCTGTGTGAAGTGATTTGGATATTCTTTTGCGATGCTCTTTCGGTTTTGTTCTATAAACGTTTGGCACTATTTCCAAACGGTAGACTTCACGTTATTCCTTTAGCATCTAAACTATGGACGTTAGATTCTCCTCTACTATGGCAAGCCATTTATAAATATTGGGTTAGCACCATCAGTAAATTTCTATGTAAATTGTCTAACTGCACTACATACAGACCGTCAACTTCTAAAGATGGAGCACAAAAGACTTAGCAAGATTGACCCGCTGTGGCACTGTCTGCTTAACTGTTCATAGGTATGCAACAATTATACAGGGGTTAAGCAAGATTTTGGAGAGGCTGACATGAAAATAAATGAGTCATCAACAAATAACATATGAGAAACCATAGGACGGGCAACTTGAATACAAACCTCCTATAAGCAACCATGGCAGTTGCCTGCATGATCGTAAAAAAAAAAACTTCCTTACAATTATAAAAAGGAGGGGAGAGAGGATCTCCCCGACGTAGTCCCTTGGAAGACATAATTACTCGGACGGTTTACCATTTACAAGGATTTGATTATCTTCATTATCTTCCCTTCACGATTTGTTGTTACGGTTATCTTCATTATCTTACCATTTACAAGTATAAAAAACCAATTTCTTGCTAGTGTAGTAGTGTTACACGATTTGTTGTTTCGGTTATCTTCATTATCTTCCCTTCACAGTTGTACGTGTTAGCCGATGTGAATATTTGATTATTTTGATTGTTAGTTAGTCAATTTGAAAGTTAGAAAGTTAGTTGATCTTGATTAGATTGTTTGTAATACCCCCCCCCCCCCTACGAATGTCACCTGGTACCGTAACGCCTCTATCGATAAAGATACCCTCGCTCATTTTTGTTATTAGCAACGTTCGAACCTTGGTCTCTTATTTCAACACGACAAACATAAATACTCCATTTGTGGACACACGACTTGTCGTTTCATTTATTTCTCTCGCACACTGTCAAGTTAGCCTTTATAAAAAAATTTATTATTAGTTAGGCGATATGAAAGTCAGTTAGTCTTGATTACACGCCATGTTTTTTTTTTTTTTCGCCTCAGGCATACAAAATTATCTACAAAAGGAAAGATTATAAAGCCATTATTTACATATTCTAATCTATCGTTTTACAGAAACAGGAATGAATGATCAGATGAAACATGCAGGCACAGAGTACTTCAATGCCTTTACTATGTCTATGTGCATGACCGTTGGATCCAACAATCAAGATGAGATATAGTTTATGACAAATTCGTCAATTTTGACGTATAAATTGACCAAGTAAAACTCGTTAGTTTAATATGAGAACCACAAACAAGCATAAGGAATCATGTTTAGTGCACTATATTACTAGCAAAATAAGTTTATCGTAATACATGTTCGACATAATATAACATGAATCCGTACGAAAACGAGATCTGTAGATCGTAACGGGCTCACCTCCGGCTCCATGTCTCTAGCCTCTGAGGACGGCTGAGCCTGTTTGGTAGCGTCTTTTGAGGTCGTTTAGTGGTAGGCCATTGGTTCACATCGGCGGGAAATGCACCAAAGGCGGGAAATTCCATTTCCGGCCGAAACGCAACTGACCGCCGTAGGATCATTCCTTCCCAGATCCAACCGCCCGAAACTTTCCCTTTATATACAGAAGATTCCTCCACTGCTCCCCTAATTCACGAATCACGACTCGCTTCGCTTTTGCTCTCACTTTCGTATTTGTTTTCCGAAACGTTCTCTCATTCTCTCTCTTTTTCCACAAGCTGAACGAGCTCTCGCGGAGTAAACCCTCGATCCATCGGAGTCGCGATTTTCAGCAGGGGGAGAAGTAATCGAATGGCGAGACCGTCGAAGCAGCAGTCGTCGGACGACGATTCACTGTCCAACGCCTCCAATTCGTCCGAAGAGGAGCCAATCAACGACCAGATCAACGACGAGGAGGACGAGGAGGAGCTCGAAGCGGTGGCGCGCAGTGCCGACGAGTCAGAAGACGACGAATCCGGCGGAGGCGGCGCAGCTGCCGATGATGACAACGCCGAGGAGACTGACGAGCCCGAAGAGGTGAGTCTATTGCGTCTTGTTAGCGGAATAGTTCAATTTTTTTCGCTTTCCTGTTCGGACGGCTTTGATTGAGGAAATGGTTGTTTGTCTGTATTGTTCGTTCTCGGCCAATCTGTTCATTTGCGCTTCAAGTTCTGTAGGCAGCCTAACTAGTGGAGGAGTAGGGTTTTCTGTGAAGGTGTTGTGCTTCTTCTTGGTTTGCGCCTAATGTTGTGATGTTCAATCTCACACAGGATATGAGCAACAATCAAATTAGCAAGCGCGAAAAGGCTAGGCTGAAAGAGATGCAGCGGCTGAAGAAAGAAAAGATCCAGGAAATCTTGGATGCACAAAATGCTAGCATAGATGCTGAGATGGTATGTCGAGTTGGCCGTGATTTCTGCACTCATGCATTTCTTTGAAAAACCAGTGTGCAGGTTTACTGATCTTTCTGGTGCACTCTGACTCTGGCAGAATACTAGGGGTAAGGGCCGCTTGAACTACCTACTACAGCAAACAGAGTTATTTGCTCACTTCGCCAAGCCTGATCATACTGCACCAAAGGGCAAGGGAAAGTATGGTGCCCATTATACACAAGTATCCTACATTTTGTCAGCTAATATTTTTTGAAATGGATTAGATAGTTTCTGAATTGGTGATCTTTTGGGTCGTCATAATTCCATCAGAATCTGGACAGTAAAGTTGCTGCTTATACTTGTCCGTTTCTTCATATATAATTTGATGTAGGCAACATTTGAATTGCCTTACGGTGACTCTGTTTATCATGTTAGAACTTAGAAATGCTTACTAGCTAAATGCGTGAGTCCTTTGGTCGTAGTTGGTCCTAATTAGTTATGAAAGTTAACGGGCCCTGCATGACTGATATATTTTTCCAGAGGGCGCCATGCTTCAAAAATTACTGAAGAAGAAGAAGATGAAGAGTACTTGAAGGAGGAAGAGGATGGAATGGCAGGAAATACGAGGCTGGTGACTCAACCTTCTTGTAAGTGCATTTCCTGTTCCTTCTATATATTGTTTGTGCAAAAGCTGCGTGGTAAGCATGTGCTACTTATCAAAGAAACACTGTTTGTGGCAGTGCCAACACTAAATAAACACCTTCCTGCAATCAGTTTGGATCCATTTTTGTTTTGAGCAATTTGATGATTTA